GAGGAGGACGAAGGCCATGTTCATTAGGTAGCCTCCAGATGAATTTAGAAACGTATGTTCCCTTCTTTGTTACCCATGTTGTATCCTTGTCCATATTATTCATCTAAGTCACAAAATTAACCTATCGACCCTAATTAGTAACTTATCCTAAGTCTAGCTTAGGGGAGCCATCTATCTTGGTGTTCTCTTTGGTTTGTGATGATATTTAGTTTTATTTGAACTTTGGAGAAGAAAAATTAGAAGCTTGAAGGTTCTTGAAATTTTTTTCTATATGACTTGTTGTTGAAGTTCTTATAGTTTGTTTAAAACAATTTTAAAAAAGTTTTAAAAAAAATATTTCGGCTTCTTTAATGATAAATAAAAGAGCTTCAAAACTAAGAATGGTGTGATGAATTGTTATGTAGGGTGAATAAGGTGGGAGCTAGTTGTTCTTAACTCTAGTTATATTTAGAGCGTGTATTCTTGTGAATTAGTTCAATAGGATTTTGATGTATGGTTTATTTTTTATGGCTTCCCTGAGGGACTATATTTGCCTACATTTTCCAAATTTTTCCTACCCACTTTCACCAAGCCTACATTACAAGCTTGAAAAAAAGACCTTCTGACCTTCAAACATAGTATTGTGTTCATGTGAAACGAGTCTTTTGTCATGGAGTATGTGTCACATTTCGAGTTGACTTTTGACTAGGTTGAGCGGCATTATAACCCTTTAAACACGCGAGTGTTGTAAGAAAAGGGGGGTTATCTTATTAGTGGGGATGGAGAGAGATCGGGCTCATTTTTAGCTCGCCCCATCAAATTATGCGGAATGACCACTAATTGAGATATTCTAGTCATCGATTCCTTATGTGTGCATGATGAGGGTCATTTATGGCGCTCAAAAGAATAAGATTTATGTCATTTTTCTATATTTTCATACAATTTTCTTAGTTGTCCTTAGTTTTCCATTTTAATAACTCATTTTGGGTTTTGATTAGTTTTTATTAGTTTTTAATGATTTAGTTCTTAATTCATAGTTTAGTTTTATTTCTTTTATTTATACTTTATTTATTTCCATTTTATTTATTATATTTTATTTGTCTCTTATTTCTCTCTCATGTTCAGTTGTTCGTGTAGGTGTTTGCTCAGGACAACACACGATCCAAATGATCATACTCCGTATTCGGAGTTCTGATGTTCAACCTTGATGTTTCGAGGTCTTAGTGTTAAAATCAATTAAGTGTTGCAATGACAACATTTTAACAAGCCTTTTCACCATTAAGAAGCCACGAACCAAGCAGTAACACAACTTAGTAGCCATGATTGCCGCTGACGCGGGTCTTCATGCCGCGGGTGCGGGATTTGTTGCACCAAAACAATAAAATCGTCTAGGAACTCTTCGCAGTCTGGCCGCAGGCTTACCACGAGCGTGGCCCTTTCGTGCCCTGTTCAGGAAAGCTGCTCCTCTGTTCCAGCCGTTTCCCCTACTCCCGCATTTGACTCACTTTGCACCTCCTTTCCTCCACCAATTCAATCAACCAAACCAGCCACCAATTTCCTCCAATAACAACCGCGCAAATCAGCCACTTACTCACCAATTGCCCCACCTTCTACCTCCACAAACCGAAACTAATCGCACCTCCTTTCCACCTCCAATTCAAACAGCCGCAATAACCACCACTTTCGCACCACCTTCCAGCCGCTACCAGCCGACATAACCACCCTCCAATCACCACCAATATCCCGCAACAATCAGCCACCAGTAGCAGCCGCAAGCAGCCACCATAACTCACCAAATCATGCGCGACACAAACAGCAACCAAAATTAATCAACGAAGATTTCTCACTCTCTCTCCTCTTTATTGCTTTATTCAAAATCACCACCTTTCGCACTTCCAATTGCTTGATTAATTTGATGATCAAAGGGCTTGTGATGCACATGATTGGTGGAGTGAAAAGCAAGGGATAATTTCCCAAATAAAGTGCCGCAACATGGAGTCCACTAACTTCTTATATTTCTATTTTGTTTTCTTTTCTCTATAATTATTCTTTTTATTTTCTTTTCTTTTTCTATTTTCCTTTTTACTTTCACTTTGTTTTCTTATTTTATTTTTTATTTCTTTTTCTTTTTTTGAAAGAAGTCCTAATTAAAGGACGCTAAATTTCATTAATATAAGCCATACGACATCTACAATTGACAATGAACGATAATGAAAACGAATTTAATAAAATCAAACAAGAATTAATCGGGGAAGGGCTAAGAATCCAAATACATAAATATAACAATTCAGCATATTCTCGATTCGTTGTCTCATACAAGTTTTTGAGTGGATCCGTCGTCGCTTTACAATTTTGTGAGAAAGTAAATTCTTGTGCTGATTCCGTAACCCGAATCCGAGCCATAATCAATGGTAGCCCCGTACAACCGGAGACCAAATTAAGCGCAAATAAAACCTTGTCTTTCGAAGGAGTCCGAAAAACCTTGTCTTTCGAAGGAGATCGAAAAAACCTTGTCTTTCGAAGGAGATAAACCCTTTCTTTCTAGGGAGACATTATTGTAACCTAAAGAAAAAGCTTAAAAGAAAAATAAAGATTGGGGCTTTCCACCGGTGAAATCCGATGGAAGCCCCTTTAAAATTGACAATGGAGACTAGGTTTAGGAGAGAGAAGAGAGAAAAGGAGGCTAGGGTTTTTACTATCACACTATATTTCTTTTTCTTTTCTTTTCCTTTTCTTTTAATTTCTTTTATTTTCTCTTAACCTTGTAATTATAAATAGGAAAATTGTAAACTATTAAACCCACCTTTAGGTGGTCTTCCACAAACAATCCCACCTTTCTAAAATCCAGAAACAATCCCACCTATTCCCCTTATCTTCCATTAACGATCCTTTTTACAGGTTACCCCTTAAACCGGTGAACCTATTCTATTTCCCTGCCTAAAGTCTTTCTTCTCCAACGGTTTTCCCCCCAAAAAAAACTTAAGTTTCGCCATTTTTATGAAACAAAGGAACAATTCTCCATCCAAAAAAATAAATAAATTATCTTTCAGAAACTTATCTCCGTCCAAAGGACTGCAATTGTTCATTGATTGAAGGAAATTAAGGTCCTTAGCACAACAATTCAAGGTGGGCTAATTAGAGGTAAATCGACAAACCCTAGCTTTTTTAAATTTGCGAATTAAAGTAATTAAACGAGGAAAGCTTCGATTAACATAGTGAAGGGTAATTTAAGTAGTTATTGAGACTGTTTGCGTATTGTAGTGGGTCTTGCATGTTTGAAAATATATCATGGTGGGATGTTTAAATTTGACAGTAATGGTTACTGGGTTTTATATGAAGGAATTAGTTGCTAAATGTGGTAATTATTCTGAAATTTTTAAACTTTATTACTTAAATCCTGCACTTGACTTAAGGGGTGGGTTAAAGTCTGCATTTACTGATGATGAATTCAGAGAATAGGGTAGGATAATGGTGGAGAAAAGAACACTAGACTTGTATGTAGTTGATGATGATGTTCAGCCTGAATTTGTTAAACAATCCCAGACTGGATCCAATACCACAACCCAGCCCACTTCAGCCATTGTTGCCACAGAACATGAGCCCAATAGGCCCAAAAAATTGATACCTAAGAGAGCTTGCATTTTGAGTTAGGAATCTAGTGCAGTTTCAGAGAAGCTGCATGTGTTGGAAAAGTCTAAAGGCAAAGCAGTAGAAGTGGTCCCCACTCCAACAACAAACAAACAACTTCAACCATTTCCTAGATCTAGTACTTCCATTTCATTACCAGAAAACCCTAGTCAAACAATAGCAACCCTAATTCAAACAGCAAACACTTTAGAGCCTCATTCTGAATTCATTACATGTGAAGTGCCAGGGGACTATGATTGGGAGGAAGACAGACCTAATAGCCCCATTGGCATAGATGAGTTACCGTATGGTGTAGGAAGTGATGAAGCTGATGATGATGATAGAGATTATGTGTTAGAAGATTATTTGGAGGCTGAGTCTGATGCAGATGAGTATTTGTTTCAAAAAGAGGATGAAGTTAATCTAAAAAATGAGTATGAGGAAGAGGATTGGCTAGGTGATTATGAGATTTATCAGGCTAACTTTGACTTAGATGGGGAAGAGGATGATGTTAGTGACATTGAAGAGTTGATGGAGCCAGAGGATTTTGATGCTGATAGTAGTGATGATGAGCAAAGGGAGGCAAGGGAAAGAGTGAAAGGTTTCAATTGTAGTGTAGTAGAATTGGCACAATCACTACAAGTTTAAGCTGCTAAGGGTAATTTAGTTGCACAGCAAGAGGGGAACAAAGGGGGTGAGAGTAGTATACAGGTTGGGGAGAGTAGTAAACAAGTTGGGGAGGGTGGAAAACAGGCTGGTTACAACTCTGAATATGAAGAATCTGATGAAGAAATTCACACACCTAGGGGAAGTGATGAAGAGGAGACAATTGGGGAAAGAAAGAGCAGGAGAGGTCTGCTTGTAGGTCCTGAGACTGAATTTACTCAGTTTCAGTGGAAAGTTGGGCATAGATTTGCAACTAGGGAGGACTTCAAGCAAGCTGTTGCTAAGTTTTTAATTTTTCAAGGTAGAAATCTAACTATTGTGTCAGCAAATAAAAGTAGGCAACAAAGAATTGGTGTGAGGTGCAGTGAAGGGTGTCCTTTTAGGTTGTATGCCTCTTGGGATTCCAGGAGAGGTTCCTTTGTAGTTAAAACAGTAATTTCAGACCATAGTTGTACCAGAACTATGGAGAAAAACAAGCAGCTGAAAGGGTCATGGTTGGCAGAACAACTACTTGATGTGTTTAAGGCTAGGCCTCATGGCCAGCTATCATTTAAACAGCCAGGAGAGCTTACAGGGTTATCATTAGGAAAGAGTTTTCTTACACGGTGAAGTGGCATGCTCACAAAAAACTTCATGGCTCCATGAGAGAGCATTATGGGAAGGTTGGCAGGTATCTTCAAGCCTTGAAAAGGTCCAGTCCAAACACACAGTTGGACTTAGTCACATACATGGACAAGAATAAGCCTCCACAGATTTTTCAGAGGTTGTATGTCTGTTTTGAGGGATTGCAAAAAGGTTGGATGGAGGGTTGCAGAAAAATTATATATGTTGATGCTTGCTTTTTGAAGACATTATTAGGGGGACAGTTGATGTCTGCTGTAGGCAGAGATGGGAATGATCAGATGTACCCAATTGCTTGGGCAGTGGTGGAGGGTGAAAATAATACTTCATGGGAGTGGTTTCTGAATAACCTCAGCAAAAGCCTTAAGCTTGGTGATGGTTCTGGAACTGTGATTGTATCAGATGAGCATCATGTATAAACTTCAACTGTTTTTGGTGTTTTTTTTTCTTTTTTTTTTTTTTTGCTGAATTCATTAATACATATATTTGGTTATGTTGCTTTTTTTTGCTGAATTCATTGATACATATTGCTTTACTAGGCATTCTAAGAGGGGTTAGTGTGACACTCCCTCAAGCTGAGCACAGACATTGTGCAATACATATTTTTTCAAATTGGCACAAGAATTTCAGAGGTGATGAAATGAAATTGATGTTTTGGAGCTGTGCAAAGTTATATAGTGAAGCTGACTATAGAGATTCACTTAAGAATTTGGAGATAGCTAATGCTGCAGCTGCTGCAGCCTTCAAAAGTTACAACCCATATGTCTTCTGCAGGGCGTTTCTGAAAACTGATGTGAAGGCAGATGCCATCACATCTAACATGGCTGACACATTTAATGGGTATATCATTAATGCTAGGGAAAAACATTTGCTTTATATGTTGGAGGATATAAGGGGAGCTTTAATGAGGAGGCTGGTGATTAAGAGGCAGGAAATGGAAAAATGGAAAAGTGTTTTATGTCCAAGGATTCAGAAGAAGCTAGAATCAGAGAAAGGGGAAGCTGCTAATTGTGAGGTCATTCCTTCTTCACAGACTGTGTTTCAAGTGAGCCATATCTTGGACACTATGTATGTGGACTTAGAAAAAAGAATTTGCACGCGCAGAAAATGGTACATGTGTGGGATCCCATGTTGCCATGCAGTGGCTCCAATTTATTTTTTTCATAAGAAGGCAGAAGATTATGTTGATGAGTGTTATAAGAAGGAGATGTACTTGAAAACATATGGGAATTCAATCCCTCCAATTGAAGGTGAAAGGCATTGGCCTCAATCAGAGTTGAGTATGGATCCACCCCCCATCAAAGTGGGACCAGGAAGGCCATGGAAGAGTTGAAGAAAGGATCCATTTGAGGACCCTAAAAAGAAAGGAAAGTTGACCAAACATGGCATGGAAATGACATGCTATGTGTGTCAACAAAAGGGCCATAATAAGAGAAGGTTCCCCAACAGAGGAACTACTCTGCCACAAGCCCTAGATGAGCCTCCAACAAAGAGAACAAGGGGTAGGCCAAGGAAAGAGGCTGCAGCTTCCCAACCTATGCACCCATGCTCTTCTACTCATCTAACAACAACAGCTGAGCCTTCAAGAATAGGAAGGGGAGGTAGAGTGATTAGCAGGGGAGGCACCTTAGCTCGAAGTCAATGGGAAGGGGAACTGGCAAAGCTAGGGGAAAGGATGCTCCAACTAGTTGGGGTGGGAGAACTGGTAGGGGTGGGGAAGCTTCAGGCAGCATGGGAAGAGGTGTTACCACAACAACAGGAGGTAACAGGGGTGATAGAGGAACAAGGGGTGGTAGAGGATCAATGGGTTGAAGAGGAAAAGGAAGAAATCAGGTCCCCCAGGGTTTTGGTGTTTATTTAACATCAGATGGCTCTACATTCACTAATGTATGACAGTAACTCATTCAATATTTTATTACAAAGCCTATTTATGTCAAAATCCCAAAACTAACTCCTTTTTTTTTGTTTCAATGCAGCCACCAGGAAGTGCAGGACCTCAAGATGTTTCAGCATACACCACTACTTTCTCCTACAACTTCAGTCAGGGTTCCTCAAATTAGAACAATATGTAATAAGGATGTATTAGTTAGTAAAGATCAATAACTTTTCTAAGTTTATGTAATTCAAACCTATGTTTAAGTATCTTCATTTGAACAGAGTTTGTCTTATATTTTGAAGAATTTCATGTTATGCTATATATTCTCTCAGTTTTTGCAATTTTTTCATATTATGCTTTATTAAAGTGTTTAAAAACTTCTACAACAACAATTAAATTGCAATAATTTTCAGCAACAACAATTTAACGAAGCAACATAAGGCATATATTCATTGAAATTGCCATGGTTACAAAAGTCAGTGAAGGTCAGCACCTACACTACAGTCAAGCCCTACTTCATTCTTTAAGTCAATCCTAGCCTAGTGAATACCATCCTAGCATGCCAAATTAAGCAAAAAAACCAAACACTTTCACATCTGAAAACTACCCAAAATACAGATGTCCCAACCAACCCACAGCCCACTTATACTACACCTTCACAGCAACCCCAAAAAACTACCTACACCCTATCATTAACACACCCTATTTCATCAACAGCACAAGGGTGTAAAATGCCCAAGAGAATACCAGAGTAAGCATCAGCCTTTTGTCATTGTTGTTTTCCTTCAGTTCAAACATTGTTTCAGTTGTTGCAATGCCCATTTCCTCCACCTCTTCAACCAGCTTCTCTTTATTTGCCTTGAGCCTCTTCACTTTATCCTTCATCATGTCCAGTTCATACTCAAGCTCACAAATTCTGGTCTCCTTCTCCATAACCAAATGCTGCAGATCATGAACATCATCCACCTCATCAGCCCACTTGAAAAAGCCTCAAGTCCTCTACTCCTACAAATCACCCAAATTAGCCTATTACATCAATAGCAAAGCAAATAAAAAAAAAAACAACAATTTGGTGCGCAATTACTTACAGGCCAGTATAAGCACCTAAAAAAACTCTTCCCCTTTGTTAGACCATCGTAGCGCACTGTCCTAAGTGGTGATTTCATTGTGGTAGCACACCACCTGAGAAGACGAGGTTTGCTTCGACCTCGACCTTGAAGAGGATCCAATTGAATTATGACTAGCCATTGATAGAGAACTGGAAAAAAAAAAAGAAAACTTTGAGTACAAGAGAAGAGGTGAGATGAAGAAAGATGAAAAAATTAATTGTTAGGGGGGCAATTTATAAAATTCTCAGAGAAGATAACAGGGGAGAAGGCATTAATGGTGTCTAAGCTTTAATGGTTGGAAATTAAATTAGAAGAAACCGGTTGTTCTAAGCAATCTAACTATTTAACCGGTTTCAACAGGTGAAGGATCGTTAATGGAAGATAGGGGGAATAGGTGGGATTGTTTCTGGATTTTAGAAAGGTGGGATTGTTTGTGGAAGACCACCTAAAGGTGGGATTATTAGTTTAAAATTTTCCTTATAAATACCCATTTTTGGGTAAGAGAGAGAAAAAAAATGAGACCAGTAGAATTAAAATTAGACCTCATATTTCTTAGCTTAGTTGAGAGCTTCTCTCTCCAGATCTAGGGTAAGTTTTAGGAGTATATTTTAGAGAGAGAAAGTGAGGAATTTTAATGGATATTTGAGATGTTTAAGATTCAAGATGACAATTGTATTGAAGATCTCCATTAACAATCAATTAATATTTCTCACTCTCTCTTCTCTTTATTGCTTTATTCAAAATCACCACCTCTCGCACTTCCAATTACTTGATTAATTTGATGATCAAAGCGCTTGTGATGCGCATGATTGGTGGAGTGAAAAGTAGGGGTTAATTTCTCAAATAAATTGCCACAACATCGAGTTCACTAACTACTTAGACCTCATATTTCTTAGCTTAATTGAGTGTTTCTCTCTCTAGATCTAGGGTTAGTTTTAGGAGTAGATTTTGGAGAGAGAAAGTGAAGAATTTCAATGGTTTTTTTTGAGAGGTCTTAGATTCAAGATTATATTTGTATTGAAGATCTCCATGATCAATCACTGAAGATTTCTCACTCTCTCTCCTCTTTATTGCTTTATTCAATTTCATGTTTATTTGGTTTAATTTTGATGTTTGATTCTTGATATTGTAATTGTTCTTGATATATTGTTGATTCTTGATTTCTTTAGTTGTTTGTTGATAGAGATGATATTTGAGTAGTTGTTGGCTAGGAATTGGGTAAAACTTGTATGATTGATTAATTGTGATTAATTTGGGCATTGTGTTGATTGATGGTTGAGATTAGAGTGATTAATGAAGGTTTGCATGTGTGTAATTCGATTAGGCCTTGAAAATTATGCTAGATTGCATTGTAATTGCTAATGACACGAACAATTGATTTAGGAATTGCAATTATCGATTGGTTTTGATTATGTTTCTCTTGGTTTGTTATTCATAGTGAACCCTAGCTTAACAATTAGGAGATAGCTCTTAAATTCCAATTGATTGCTCTTATCATTAGTCTTCACAACCTTTGATTGGCATGCTCTTCCCAAGTTGTTGCATTTGACATGATTACTTGTAGATCCCCGTTCCTAGTGTTTTAAATCCTTGGTTACTTGTTATGTTGGTTATTAGTATTCTCTCTTACCTTCGTCTTCGACCTAGCTTAGGCGTATAATTGAAAGTGCTTGAACATTACCGTTCCCTTGGGTTCGAACCTTGACTTGCCTCTATACTCGTATTTAGGTTTGTTAAGTGTTTATAAACTTAGTTTGACTGAGGGAATATTAGATAACGACCTAGTCTTCTTCTTCTTCTTCTTCTTCTTCTTCTTCTTCTTCTTATTATTATTATTATTATTATTATTATTATTATTATTATTATTATTATTATTATTATTATTATTATTATTATTATTATTATTATTATTATTATTATTATTATTATTATTATTATTATTATTATTATTATTATTATTATTATTATTATTATTATTATTATTATTATTATTATTATTATTATTATTATTATTATTATTATTATTATTATTATTATTATTATTATTATTATTATTATTATTATTATTATTATTATTATTATTATTATTATTATTATTATTATTATTATTATTATTATTATTATTATTATTATTATTATTATTATTATTTTCTTCTTTTTCATTTTGATCCCTCTTCTTCTTTCTTTTGGCATCTCCCTTCTCACTTGCGTGCAACAATCTTTTTGCACGTTCTTATCCCGTCATTTGCCTACCGTTTATCTTATGAATTGATTTGTAGTGCATTTTATGATGCGGATGCATTCAACGTTTCCTTTCTTGGTCCGTTTCTTTAATGTTTCTTAGATTAGATTTTGGCTTACAAGTTTTTACCTTTCACTTGAAAGGGTTTTTCTTGTTTTAAGCATTAGGATTTTTATTTTGATTAGGAATTGTTTTGGTCTAGTGAGTTCCTATTTAAATTAGGACTTGTCTTTAGCAAAAGAGATTCCTAATTGGATTAGGACTTGTTTTTAGCAAAGTAAATTCCTAAGTGGATTAGGACTTGACTTTGGTTTTTAGGCGTGTCTAGGTGTTTTAGGAGGATTGAATAACCTAATCTAAGTTGAATTAAACTTAGTTAGTTTAGTCATATCCGAATTAGGAACTTGGGGATCAAGTTTCGGTTTTCTTAGGTTTTCTAGGTCAAATGGGATTCTAATTTAATTAGGATTAGTTTTCTAATTTGATTAGGTTTAGGATTAGTTTTGAGTCTATAAATAAAGGTTGTAAACTTCAAATTATACAAGTTTTGTTTTGTTGATTAAAGCTTTATTGCTTGTTAATTTGGAACGTTTCTTTCCAAGTTTTCTTTGTGTTTGACGAGTGAAGTTAAACATAAAAACCCTTAGATTAGGCGAGTGAAACCTGATTTAAGAGAGGTTAGATTAATTAGTGAGTGAAGCTAATTCAAACTATCCTCAAAAAAACCCCTAAATCACGAGATTAAGGTGAGTGAAGCCTTGAAATCAGATTTAGAACCCTTAGGCGAAAACAAACGAGTGAAGCTTGTTTAAACCTAAGACCAAACGAATCAAGAAACGCATCAAATGGTATCAGAGCTTTTGGTGTGGTTATTGAGTCGTTATATCCTTATTCTTGAGCAATCAAGAATCAATTCGTGCTAGTTTCTTGGTTCTTGTTCTTCTCGGCGCAGATCTGGACCAGTTGGAAGTTTTAGGTTACTGCGAACTATATACTTGGTATTTTTCGGTGATTCTTTTTTGGTTGGATTCCTATTGGACTAAAATTATAGACTGTAAAATTTCGTGGTCATTGGATAAGTGACGCAAAATCTACAGCAACAAACA